GGTCGGATCGAAGGGCAAGATCCAAATCCATACAATCGAGAACAATTTCTATGGTTTCCTTCCAGATCTTATAGTCTGTCCCATTGACCATTGGGATGTTAATTTGAGCAGAAATATTAGGAGAAGTAGCAATGGCCACTGTAAGAGAACAATACAATTACTCACTAAACATTCAAAATAAATCATGCATAAAAAAATATGGGTAAAATAAATTAGTGACTCATTCCAAGACACCCGGTGCAACATTAATCTTGTCGGAGGACAAAAAATTAGCTACAAATGTAATCTTGGTGCAACAATCAAGTATTGGTAATAAGTTCTGTCAAACATAAGTCTATCGAAGGAACACAAATGTTCACATGAATAATATAAATAACTACCACATACTTACCATCACCTGTGCGTTATTATTCGGCCAAATTGCGTCTACCGGACAGCTGATCACATAACGCATAAATAATTTCATACTACATCTTTGTAATATCAATAAAGTTGATCTTCACACACAGTGGTTGTGGAGGCAACTTGATGGTTCAATTGACAAAATTGTTAAATTACTAGATCAATTACATAAAAAATATATTATGACACTAACGTGTCTCTCCCAATTTAAAATAATATTAAACCGATGAGATCAATGGCATAAATCCCCAAATCATATATTTAAATATATCCATAACTTATATTATAAATATAAAAAAATATATATCACGAGATAATAAACTTATGTAAATCATTAATATGGATTTAAAAACCTCTTTATCTTTAAAAAAATATATATATATATATACACATATATATAAGAAAAAATCCATCAATTGAAGATAAATATTCCACAATAAAATTAATCTTCTTTTACGCACACAAGGATCAAAACATCCAACAATAATGTGCGAGAAAATTAATTTTCAAATATATATATGTAAACTATAAATTCATATAATCACGTCTAGGTGGCTGTAATACCACTTGATGGAAAAGTTTCATTGATAATGCACTCGGCATATATCCAATCCATTTATCCTATAGCAATTTATATGAAATAAAAAAAAAATCACATTAGAACATTTCTGGATCCATCGAGTTCCTTGATGCGGTACTGAGAACTCGAACAATTGGTATTACGGCATTCCTCAACTAAATCGACTAATGGATCCTTCATAATCTATTCCGATGGGGAGAATAGAGAACAATGATTGATTTTGTGTATTGAGGACCATAACTGAATGTTCTTTATACAGTGATCAATAAGCCACCCATAATCATCTAATTGATAAGCTATTTGGTATCTGCTCAATTTATCCTATATTAATAAGGTAGTAATTGACTTGTTCCATAATTAGATCACGTAATTTAAGTCAATCAAATAAATAATTGATTATTTCTATAATCAAACATCGTAATCTAAGTCAATCAAATAAATCATTGATTATTTTTATAATTAGATTATGTAATTTAAACCAATCAAATAAATTAGAATAACTAATAAATTTGTACATTATTATTTATCCATATTTAGATAGGGAGATATATATTTTCCTAACAGGATGATTTTTGAAAAATAAATTCTCCAGATTAAATTTCACAGATCCAACGGCTGAGATTCGATGGAACAAACCGGTGGTTTGAAACGAAACCGGTGGTTTCGGTTTGAACCGCTGGTTTGGGCAGTTTTTTATTTTTTATTTTAATTTGAAATGAACCGTGGATATTTAATGTACATTATAGTAAATGAAGGGATGACATTTAATGACCAAGTATATAAATAGGTAGATGAATTGTATGAATTTTCTTCACCCCAACTTTTACATTCTTATCTCTCCCTACATCTCACTATCTCACTCACTTACAATTATTTAATATCTCAAGTGTTCAGTTTATAGTACTCTACTCTATTCTATAGTATTTTATTTTAGATAAAATTGTACTTTCAAAGTAGCTAATAGCTTTTAGTTGCATTTTTATTTGTTTGTATTATTAATTTCCTTACATTATTTATATATTATAATATCTATTAAAAATAAAATTTTAAAATAGAAAAATGTCATTGTCTATGTCTAGAGGAAAGGGCAAAGGTAAGACTATCGTTGATTCACATTCTTCTCCTCCCCAATTTCATAATTTTTTTTATGAGCAATGGAATATAGAAGATTTTGATGAGCTTGAATCGTTAAATCAATATCAATACCCCGAGGCTCCCGACAATGAAGAAGATGTAAGTGGAAAACAAATAGCTCATGAAATTCAAGCCTTAAGATCCGATATTTTCTTCGTTCATTTTACGAAGAAAGCAACTGAGGTTAGTAATTGCTTTCAAAGTTAGTTGTAATTATTGTTCTAAAGTTTATAATTACAAGAAGGGAGGAGGATATGCAAAATTTACACTTCATATCGATAATAAACACCCTTCTAAAATTGGAATAACTTCATCACAAACAAAAATTCGAGGACCAATACCATCTTCCACTTCAAAAATTAGAGATGAGGTAAGTACTCCTACTTTATTTAAATATAGCGATATTACTGCTAGAAGATAATTAGCTAAGTTTGTTTTTTCTAAACATCTTCCGTTTAGACTTGCAAATGATTTACGTTTTGAAAAATGAATTACTAATGCTTACAATCCTTCGGCTAGAAGAATTTCACGCTCAACACTCACCCGTGATATTGATATAATTGTTAGTGAATGGAAATTAAAAGTAATTAATATGTTTAATAATTTACAAAATAAAGTTTCTATGTTCGGATGTTTGGAATGATCATTGGCAAGAACATCATTATATGAGTATTGCATGTTATGGATTGATAACTCATTGACTTTACAAAAATGTTTAATTGCATATCGAGAATTTGATGCAGAACACACTGCAACAAATATTTCTCACAAGATATGATCTATTTTACAATAATATAATTTTACGTACAAAAAATTTTTCAATTTCATTTGATAATGCAAGTGCTAACATGGCTAGTTTAAATTCTCTTATTGAAATTTGTCAACCATCAATTGGAGGTAAGTTTTTTCATGTTACATGTTTGTCATCTTTTAAATTTTTGTTCAAGGTGGTTTATCCTGTTTGAAAGAGCATGTAAATTCTATTAAACAAGCAATTTCTTATCTAGTAAGATATGTCTCATTATTAAAATGATGGAAAACATATTGTAGACAAATTGTTAACATATTATTACGACTCATTATGTCCTGAAAAGATAATGAAACCTATAACCCTACTTCAATTGCATATGGAGCAAAACAACGTTTAATAGATATTTTTAAAGAATATAAACAACAATTTAGTGCTTGTAGAATTGATCTTAGCCAAAATATAAATACTAGTTCTAATGTTTCTTGTAGTGATAGTTCATCTCAACCTCCATAACTTTCACTTTTTCATGATTTGTATAATGTAAGAGAATGTAAACGTTCTAAATTAACTGTTGAATATTTAGAAAATCAATGTTTACTTGCAGATTAAGTAAAAGTTGACGATATAAGTCAATGTGAATCTAGTAATACAGATTCAAGTGATAATCTTTAAAATATAACCAAAAGTGATGATTAAAATTTATTTATTTTAGGTATATTTAGATTTCCTAAAATTAAATTTTATATAAATTTTAAATTTAGATAGATCTAAATTAGAAATTTTATAATTATGTCCAAGCCCCTTTAATTAAACACAACTTAATTTCTTAAATGAAATGTTTACAAACATAGTACTATAGTAGCATATATAAAATCATAATAAAAAAATATAATAATATAATTTATAAATAAAAATCATAAGTTAAAAAAAAAAAAACTTAGAATTTTTAACCGAAATCGTCACTCAGATCGGGTATGATCAGGTCGGGCACGGAGCTCAGGTGTGACAAGATCGGGTGCAAAGATCGGGCGTAATAAGGTCGGACACTGAAGTCGGACGTGGTCGGTTCGAGCTCAAAGGTCGGGCGTAATAAGGTCGGGCATTGAGGTCAGACGTAATCGGGTCGAGCTCAAAGGTCGAGCGTAATAAGGTTGGGCACTGAGGTCGGACGTGGTCGGTGCGAGCTCAAAGGTCGGGTGTAATAAGGTCGGGCACTGAGGTCAGACGTGGTCGGGTCGAGCTCAATTTGATCGGGCGTAATAAGGTCGGGCACTGAAGTCGGACGTGGTCGGGTCAGGCTCAAAGGTCGGGCGTGATAAATTTGGACACAGAGGTAAGACGGTATAAGGTCGGGTACGGAGGTCAGATGTGATATGATTAGGTGTTATATATAGGTCGGGCGAAGCGGACTCAGGCAAGGCAGGAGGTTAAACAAGGGGAGAACGGGCAAAGAGGAGACGAAGCAGTAGATGTGCAGGTCGGGCAAAAAAACAGTTCCTGGACAGTTGAAGGAAGTTTCAACTGATGAGCGGGTTTGAAGGCACGACTTGGTGAGTCGGTTGACACACGCGTCGATAAAAGAGAACTTTTTGGGCGGTTGACAACGGTTTCTGTAACCGACCAGACGGCGGTTCAAACCGTTTCTTTAAGGGGTTTTAAATAGATCTGTTCCTGACCTAAGAAACCATCTTCAATCAACATCAAATTCAAAAGAATTGCCTTTGGGGATCACCACTTTATTTTCCAGTCTGTAGTTTTATTTTACTATTTTATTTATGTATCGTACAATTTTTAGAGATTCCTAATCTCAGGTACTAATTATATCAAATTCGAAGATAATATCCTATTTTCGGATTTTACTTTTTTTTGTTGAAAAATCGCATCAACAAATTGGCGACCACAGTGAGAGAAAGGCAAGATTGCTGATCCTACGTCAACAGAGAATTTCATACGACTGAGGTCCGGCCCAATCATCGAAAGGATCCACACGGCAAGCTCACAGCCTCAAGCATCTTCAGCACCGGTGGGAGAAACAGTCTCACCACCTGTCATGCCAACTGCAGGGGAAACACCACAAGCACCTGCTGACTGGGTTTCCTATGTTAACAATTGAACAATCAGCATAATTTGGCTATGCAGAATATGTTGCGCGAGCAAAAAATGTTGCGGGAGCAACAAAACCTTATGCAAAATATGCTAAATCAAGCGTTATCAAGGGTTACTCTGCAACCCATTCAGACACCACCAGAGTCTTCACCATCCAGATTACAGACAAATTTTGCGGGACCCTCTTACGTGGATAGCACTTTTCCAAGTGCTATTGCCCCTAGGGTTGACAGGGGAAAGACTCCTCTCACATACCCAAATAATATTCCTTTGGGTGTTAGGACCGAACCAACCGACCGCAACGAAGAAAGATTGGGAGGACAGGCTCACAATCCCATTCCTGTATTTGACCCTGTTCCGCCCAGGGTAGATCCGGAAGACATTGCTCAAGTCTTGAGAGTGCATTTTGGAATGAATCCTCAGACGGTCAACAGACCAGCATATCAGAGGCCTTTCCCAAAAAGAGTCATCAATGACCACCCCCTTCCGAGGAATTACAGACCACCCGATTTTCACTCGTTTTCAGGAGAAGATGGAGCATCAACCATTGAGCATGTGGGACGCTTCACGGCTCAATTGGGGGAAGTGGGCAATAATTTGTTTTACAAATTACAGTTGTTTGGATTATCGCTCACAAGAACAGTTTTTTCATGGTTCGCTAATTTACCACCAGGACAGTTGCAAACTTGGGAAGGTCTGGAGGCCGCATTCCATGCAAGATTCTTTAATCCGCTCCCAACGGTCTCGCTTGCAGATCTCTTAGAGATCCGGCAGATGCCAGAAGAGACTGCTTCTAAATTTATAGAGCGGATACGTCTAATGAAGGGACGGTGCCCGACAATCATTGAAGAAAGCGAGATGACCAATTTAGTGGTCAAGAATATGCACACCAGATTGCAGGATGCGTTGATCTGCCCATGATATTTAGGGAAAAGGAACATAATTTCCGACGGAACAGGGTTCAACAGATGGCCAGTGTCGATACAGAAACGTATGTGCCAGATGATGAGCAGCGAAACATCATTGAAGAAATGGCGGCTGAAATTGTGAGCGGCAAGCCGTATGTGTGTTCCAAACTAAAGCCCCTTCCTGGGACAGAAGAGAAGGAACAACCGAACTTTGATGCGTCTAAAGCAGACAAAATTTTCGATATTCTGCTAGCAGACGGGCAAATTTGCATTCCTAAAGGGCAGCGTTTAGCAACGAAAAAAGAGATAAAAGGGAGGCCATATTGTAAGTGGCATAATTCTTTTACGCATTACACTAATCAATGTACGCATTTCCGAAAGGAAATACAGAAGGCTATCAGAGCAGGGAGATACAAGTATGTAACAATGAGAGTGGAACACCAGCCATTCCCAAAAGCGACTACTACTGTGATCTCCCTACGTTCTTCACAAGATACACAAAGTGATGGTGAGGAAAATACCAAGCGAAAGGAGCGCAAGCCCAAAGAGCGGGAACACGATCAGGAAGACAAGTTCAAAGTTTGCGAAACCAGAGTGGTGGAGAAATGGGATAAAGACGATGGGTCCTTCGAAGTGTAGTTGAAGGATAAAGTTGTGGTTCGAGACCGACCAACGCGCAAACCACAACCAGTCCTTGACAGATGGAGCCGAAACAGAAAGCCTCTGCCAATAGACATAGATCCCCGATTTCTAGGTATGAATCGCACACAAATTCGTAATGCTAAGCGCAGGTACACGGCTCGGCATGGAAAGCGAGTAGATTAAGGGAAGGAGAAGAAGGAGTCATCACCCAAAAGGAAAAGCTCGAGTGACCGACTACAGGAGCACTGGCAGACTGGAAAGCCTATCAAGAAGGCTAAGTGTTTTCGGTGTCAGTTCTGCAGACGGATCAACATTGATCCTGAAATAGAAGATGCTGAGGAAGAGACCCCTGAGATAGTCTTCGGCTCCTTTGCTCAAGAAGAAACAAAAATTTTACGCAGCAAGATAATGAAGATTGATAAAGCCGGGTTCGAAGTCAGGATGATAGATATGCGACGGTTTGACGTAGAAGAAGAAGAGCCCATCTGGGCAAAGTTCGAGGAAGAAGAAGAACCAGAATGGGCGGTGATGACCGACAGACCCCCACCTATGGTTTTTCCGCCTATACCAGAAGGAGCAATCCCGCACTTAAAACCACTGTATGTTAATGCTCACATATGTGGCAAGCCGATTAACAAGGTTTTAATTGATAATGGGGCCATTTTCAACGTCATGCCTCTTAAAACTCTGAGAAAATTGGGCAAAGGGATTGGCGACCTGTCTCCAGTAGATATTGAGATGACAAGCTTCACGGGACAACCAACCAAACCAGAGGGGATGATGGTGGCACCCATTGAGGTCGGACTAATTGTTATTTCAACAGTATTTTTTGTAGTAGATGCCAACACTACTTATTTGGTTTTGTTGGGGCGAGACTGGATTCGTGCTTCCAAATGTGTGCCTTCTTCTCTCCATCAACAGATCATGTTTTGGAAAGGAGACCAGGTATTCACCATGGAAGTCAGTACCAATCCGTTCGGTTCTACAGAAAGTGTGGAAGAGTCAGTGCTTTATTCAGAGTATGTACCACCGATTTCATGGACAACTGAGGTGGGCGAGTATCCCTGGAAGGGCTGTAGGCTCACTGCACAGGGTTATGTGTTTCATTAGAAACAATCTTCTGTATTATGGCTCTGTCGTTAGCCAAAAACTCTTTATTTATTTAAGTTCAATTATGGAAGAAATAAATAAATGTGATAAACTGATTAGGCAGTTTATTTAAACCAATTAATGGTTAGGTTACATAATAGTGAAGGTTCCAACAATAATGTTGGCAAGGGAGAAGGTTTCCGCTGGCCCGGTCTCTTGGAAAAGACAGAAACTTCTTTATCGAGTCAAGATCTTCTAATTGAGTATAATGTAGGAACCGAACAGATACCCAAGATGATCAGGGTAAGTGGTTTATTGTCAAAAAACCAACATGAGCAAATAGTAGCATTAATTCGGGATCATAAGGAATGTCTGGCATGGGATTACTCCGAAATGCCCGGATTGGTGCGCAATTTGATAGAGCATAGGTTGCCCATTAAGAAAGGGTTTACACCGTATAAGCAACCACCAAGGAGAGTGAGTCCAGAATTGATGCCTCAGATCAAAGAAGAAATCGAGAAGCTGTTGAAGGTCGGATTCATTCGACCATGTCGATATGCGGAATGGTTAGCCAATATTGTTCCGGTAACCAAGGAAAATGGAAAGATTCGAATATGCATTAATTTCAGAGATCTCAATCTCGCCACTCCAAAAGATGAGTATGCCATGCCCATTGCAGACATGTTGATCGATTCCGCAGCAGGGCATCGAATTTTAAATTTGATGGATGGATATGTAGGATATAATCAAATTTCATTAGCAAAAGAAGATATACCCAAAACCGCGTTCAGATGCCCAGGAGCTTTGGGTATCTACGAGTAACGGTTATGCCATTCGATTTAAAGAATGCTGGAGCGACCTACCAGTGGACAATGAATACCATCTTTCATGATCTGATTGGGCAGTCAATGGAGGTATACATTGATGATGTGATCATTAAGTCCATTGACTTTGACACACATCTGGTTGATTTAAAAAATGCTTTTATATGGATGAAGCAGTAGAACCTAAAAATGAACCCAACGAAATGTGCCTTTGGAGTTTCGGCAGGAAATTTCTTGGAGTTTTTAGTGCATGAAAAAAGAGATAGAAATTGATGCAAACAAAGCCAAGGTTGTTCTGACAATGGTCCACCTCGGTCAGTCAAAAAGTGCAAAGTTTGTTGGGAAAGGTAAATTACCTAAGGTGTTTTATATCAAATGCTGCAGGGAAGTTAAAACCTATCACAAAGTTGTTGCGGAATAGAGCGGCTGATTTTTCTTGGGGTCAGGAGCAGCATAAGGCATTAGAAGAAATCAAGGAAGCATTAATTAAACCACCTGTGTTGGTTCCCCCAAGAGGAGACCTACCCCTTCGGCTGTATGTTGCGAACAACTTTGATGTTGTGAGTAGTCTGTTGGTGCAAGAATGAGAGGATGGTAAAGAAAAGGGCTATTTATTATTTAAGCAAACCTTTGGCAGGACCTGAGTTGAATTATACTATGCCCGAAAAAATGTGCTATTCTTTAGTTTTTGCGTGTACTCGGCTGGAGCATTATATTCTCCCAAGAGAAACCGAGGTAGTTTCTAAAATGGATCGGATCAGATTAATTCTGCACAGACCAACTATGCAGGGAAGATTAATGAAATGGGCCATCAAGTTGGCTCCTTTCGCGTTGCGACACCGACCTATCAAAGGGGTGAAAGGACAGGTTATAGCCGACTTGTTGGCTGAATTTGCAGGCGATGAATCATTGGAAAACAAAGTAGTGCCGTATATAGGCACCAGTCCTTGGAAAATGTTTTTGATGGTTCTCGTTCAAAAGGAAATTCAGGAGCAGGGGTGATACTAGAAGGACTAGGAGCCAGTAGAATTAGTTTGCAGCTTCAAATGGAAGAGATGACTCATAACTCTGCGGAATACGAAGCACTGATTTTGGGTTTGGAAGCACTCATTGTAAAGGAGTACAATCAGTCCTAATTTGTGGAGATTCTCAACTGGTCATGAACCAAGTGTTAAAACGGTACGCTTGTAATTATCCCCATCTGCATCGATACCGAGATTTGGTATTCCATCTGTTATACAGAATTGCGAAGGTAGTTTTCAAGCATTTACCAAGAACAAAGAATCGGTTGGCAGATAATTTGGCTCAAAATGCCTGCCAACAAATGGTTGGGAGTATCGATTCTGGGATTGATTGGAGAATAGAAATTATGGTGTATTTGGAATCACCAAGTTTTGTGACTCCTGTGGGCGTTTGGTTGAAATCCTTACGCTTTCAGCTTATTGAAGGGGTTCTGTATAAAAGAACCTTTGAAGGAGTGTTATTACGGTGTTTGGGGCCGAAAGAATCCATTAAAGTAATGGAGGAGGTCCATTGTGGAATCTGTGGGGCGCACCGAGCAGGTTTAAATATGCGATGGGCTATCCATCGTATGGGATTCTATTGGCCAAAGATTTTTGATGATTGTATCAGATTTTCTAAGGGGTGCCAGGAATGCCAAAGGCATGGTCCATTAAATAATCTGCCAACAGTAGAATTGCAGACGATGGTTAAGTTGTGGCCGTTCAAGGCTTGGGCGTTGGATGTAATAGGAAAAATTCATCCGACATCATCGAAGCAACATTCATTCATTTTGGTCGCCACTGATTATTTCACCAAATGGGTAAAGGCGGTTCCTTTGAAGAATGCAACGCAGAAAGAGGTAATTGAGTTCGTGTTTAATCACATCATCTATCGATTTGGGATTCTGCACACTCTTACAACCGATCAAGAGTTGATGTTTACTGGGGAAAACTTTGTTGAGTTTTTGGCCAAATTTAACATCAAACTGCATCACTCTTCTTCATATTACCCAAAGGCGAATAGGTTGGCCGAAGCGGCAAATAAAATCGTTATTGGCATTATCCGGAAGATGGTAGAAGAAAATCCAAGGAAATGGCATACATTGTTGTCTCAGGCATTGTGGGCCCATGAAAATAGTAGAAATAGTTCTACTGGATTTTCCCCATACCAATTAACGTTTGGGCAAGATGTTGTTTTACCTGTAGAATTTGTTGTGCCTTCACCCAGAGTGACTAATACAACAGCGTGTATTGACGAGGTGTATACACAAAGGATGTGGCAACAATTGGAAGAAGTCGATACGGATCGATTAAACGCTTTGGATCAAGTGGTTAGACAGAGTGAGATTAGGGCAAAATACTATGGGAAAAGAGTATTCCCTAAAGTTTTTGCAGAAGGGATTTAGTCTGGAAGACAATTCTGCCTACCTATAAGAAGGTGGATCAATTTGGGAAGT